CGAGTTCCCAGCAGTTTCTAGGCAATGCGTTCGTCCCTCGGGTAAGCCGTTTAAGAATCCTTTTGATTCAGGGAAGCAGCTGAACGATGCTTTGAAACCGATGAGGACTCGGACAGAGTCGCGGGCTAAGAGACGAGAATCAAAACTGAAGCGCGGGCCCCGACGGCCAGACTTTATAGCCTAAATGCTAAAAGTCAGCAGTCCATTCACCTTTAATGATTTCCACGTGTCCTGGTCTTCATATGTATTTCGAAATACCTTAGTACGTCGAAACGCTTAGTCGTCATTTTGACACGCGCCGCATTTCGAACGCATATCAGTCCAATGGCCTGAGGTGTCGAACTGATAAGTCATCACAATTCGATGCTCGCTGGCTGTTGCCAAGCGCGCATTGCAAAAAAGTGACAAATATCAAGGAATCTAGCACTTTCACAGGGCTATAACATGTTCATGAAAATCAATTTCAATAGTCCCAAAAAAAAGTGTTCATTTAAGCAATTCAGGAATCTTATTATCTATTATTATTCTTTGTATTTTATTATTTTATATTTTATTATTTTATTTTATTATTTTACACAGAGTCACTGAGACGATACCCTCCGTTACGACGGTTCGGCAGTTGTGGTACGACAACTGCAGCTCACCACTTCGAGTCTCGGTCTGGCACATAAGTTGCTTCTGCTTAACATAGGGCCGAGGCTTGAGGTTCACGTCTCTGAACCTCTACCCTTGCAAGGTGCAATTGGAGGTCAGTTTTGGGCGTGACGTTGCGCTTCGTTGAGCAGTCCACGTGAATTCTACCGGTCCCATTTCGGAATAATTCGAAGGACCGAAGCAGAGAGCAAAAACCTCCGAATAATACAGTCCGCTGCACGATTGTTCAAATGAGCAATTAAAAAGCGTACGAATCTAACGTACGCATTTATTCATTTCATTAAATCTTTACATCGATCGTGATCGAAGCCAACGACGCCGCTAATCGGAAGGGCAGACGAGCGACCACGTGCCCAGGATCATAACTTGAGGAGCAGCGACCACACCCTTCCTAGTTAGGGTGATGGGGCTTGTCTGTCAAATGCACTGTGATAAAGTATTAACACTCTATCAGAGCGTAGAGAAAGGGAAGGAGTTATTGTTCCCTTTTAACAAAATCGTGCACTTAGTGCACAAGGGCTTATGACCTTAATAACAAATTTTAGACCAAGTGTTCTTGGGGAAAGCATTCGGGGAACGCGCCCCACCATCTTATCTTCATGGCTTATACGTTGACGACTTGGCATTCCCCGGATAACGAGTTGGATGCGGATCAGATTATATAACGGTCGATCAAAAACTAGCATACAAAGGGCTACCAGAGATGAAGCCTCGGACACAGGTGCTCCCGGCCTTAGGGCATCTGTGGCGGACATGCCCGTTGTTGAGACAAATATTACTAACGATTCTGGCAATCATGGACACGAATTGGTTGTCGATTTGGCTCTGCCATTAAACGGAGATTTTGGGTTCCTGCGGGAAAACGAGTATGCCCGGCATGTGAAGAAAGTATATCACACCTCTAGAAAATTAAACGGAGATGCGCAAAATGTACCTTTGACAAGCTACATAGCTGCCGGTGCTATCTCCCCAAATGCAGCGGAGCTGGCGCTGCCGCGGAAACGCGGAAGGGCTACAGTTGTTCGGCTTGTGGTTACGTATTCGATATCCAAACGACAGGACAACATCGACAAACAACAAAGATATCAAGCTATTAAAACGGGGCGTTCAGGAACCAAGATCTCAGTATGGACGAAAGAAGAAACTACTCTTGATTGCGTTCAACGAGAAATTCAAGGGGTATAGTCGCCCCAATGTCAGAATACATGACCTCCTTTCGTCCAAAACGATAAAGCA